AGCAGGATGCAATTTACCGTCCCAGCGTTCACATTCGTACAGTTGTTTTCAGCCTTGGAGCTTGGCAGGCGACACAGAGGATGTTGGGGTGGCAGTTTGTGGAAGAATCATGCCCACAGTTCAGTTTGTGGAAAGATCATGCCCTCGTTGGTTCAGTCTGAGGTCCCCAGAGCTTTGCTTGGTGCTTCATGTTCCAGTGCTGTTTGCAGGACCTGGGTACAAGGACCATAAAGCCTGGCCAGAGCAGAGCCAACATGTCTTTTCAACCTTTGGGTTGTGGCTTGCAGGATTGGGAAGCTCAGTTATTGCTATAGATTACAATGGCAGAGGAGCATCAGATGATGGGTGCAAAACACTATGCTTGGAAAGGAGAATCTAAAAATACAGTCCATAATCTTTTAATTTGTCTAGGCAGAGATCAGCATCTTCTCAGCAGCTTGTGGCTAGGCGATAGTATATTCTAGGCTTACTCGTAACAACTCTATTAATCACTTGTGAGTCACTGCTCATGACTAATTTACTGTATAGCTAATTTAAAAGGAGATGAGACAGTAGTAACTTTGTTAAAAGAATCACTGTTTTTCTGTAGAGTAATTTGTTCAGAGCTAGTAAATCCTCATGGTCCCTCCTGCACTGGGGCAAAGCCTAGCAGATACAGGGGTGTCTGTAAGGTGTGAGCGGTGCAGACCGCAGCCTGCCAGCAGCTCTCGACGGGCTGTCCCGTCTCCTGCCACCCTGTGTGGTACGTGTGAGGCTCTTCCCATGAGCCAGTCTACACTCTTCTCTTTTTGTCATCTCAGGCCGTACAACACTGTTGGACATGTTCAAAGTTACACACAGGCAAACTACTGCGCCCCTCTGAGTTGGTTCTGTTCCGCTAATGGCAGACAGAGGAGGACGACGACTCGTTCGGTGTTGCAAGGAGCAGCAGTGGCAGAAGCCAGCTGCAACACGGGAGCTCTCTTGCTCCCATCCTTACGATACTGTAATCAGTGAGAGTTGCCATCAAAGCCATCCTGGGAGGCCACAAGTCATTTAAACTATTAATTTACACTAACAAAATCAATTAAACACTGACAGGAATAACTATCTTGGGAGAGCACTAGGTTTTAGAAGAGGAATCTTATCATCTTTGTAACAGCTGCAGCCAGAGCAAACAGTACAATGAATTTCTCTGTAACTGAAGAATTAGAGAAACTATGTTATCACCATTTTGTTCAGGATGCTAAAATGAATTTAGCTCACATTCCACAGGCAAAGTACATTTGTGGCCCTGCTAGTAGCAGCGGATTTAAAACCGTGCTGCGTAGCCCTCAGCAAAACCCCACAGTTAAGAATGCCAAAGAGAAGGGTCCTGGTCCGAGAGGCCGCGGGGTCGGTGTCTCAGGACGAGCCCTGGCATGGCAGAGGGACAGGTCTCCTGCGGTTCCACTGACCGTTCCCCTCTGCCCGTTTGTTTGCAGGAGAAACGCATTGCTTCATTGGATGCTGCCAACGCACGGTTAATGAGTGCCCTTACTCAGCTGAAAGAGAGGTACAGCATGCAGACACGTAATGGGATCTCCCCCACAAACCCAACTAAATTGCAGATTACAGAGAATGGAGAATTCAGAAACAGCAGTAATTGTTAACGCGTGGAGGGCGCTGCCGCAGGAGAGGAGGCCTGGCCAGAGAGACCGTGCAGCAGCAGGTGTGAGCCGCGGCTTCAAAGAACGGCTGCTCTCTCCCCCCAGAGAAACCAGCTCCTTACTGCGGACGGCGCGCTTGACTGAGCCTTTGTGGGAGATGCTAATGCCAGCACATTGAGGGGACGGAAAGATCGAGTGTGAGATGAGTGGCATAAGGAAAATAACATATATTTGAGAATCGCTGTCACTGTCGGATTTAAATCAGTGTTTAATGTTTAAACAGAAGTAACCTTTTCCTTCTAAACTGCCCAAAGGATATGCCTCACCCCTCCCAGCAAGGAATAACGTCCTTGTCATTGCAGTAAGCGAAATAAAGGGAGCTGGGCAGAGCCTGCAGCAGGCAGTGGCCCAGTGAGTCCAGTTAAAGCGTGCCACTGGGCGTAGCCCTGCGAGGGATGGCGGCAAAGCTTGGCCCGCACCTCCTGTGCCTCCCCCTGGAGCACAGCCCTCTCCCAAAGCAAACCCCGAGCCGAGCCCAGCCGTCTTTCCTGTGGGAGGCCACTGATTTTTTTACAGCGGGTGACTGTCCACGGGGCATTTACGCAGCTAATTAGTGTTTAATTAACTCCACCCATATAGGGAGCGCAGTCCAGATGAAGGGTCAGGGCGCACGCCGTGCCGTGTGGTAGCCGAAGGGGTGCTGCGTGGGGAACCGCGGCGGCAGGGCAGTGGAGAAGGGCACGACGGGTTCTGCCGAGGCTCCTGGGGGTGCCGGGCAGCCCGGGGGGAGCAGAGCAAGGCCAAGGCTCTGGCACGCGAGTGGAGAGAGGAGCTGGCACCTGGTGACTGGGACTTGATTCCTCTCTGCAGATCCTGCTCTCACAAATAAGGGGAAGAGTCTTTGTAAGCAATAGCCCCTGGGTGCTGCCCCCCCCCACGCAGACTTTTAGCCACTCAATAAAGTAACCGTTGCCTGAGCTTGGTCCCCGAGCTGTGAATGAGGTGCAGGGGCTGGATTTCCTGGTGCCCGTTGTGGTAGAGGGGGAGCGAGGGGCTATGTGAAATGGCCAGCTTCTTGCTTGACCAAGGGTTCGTTATGGGGATGTAATGCTCTGTGCAGAGATTTGTACTATTTCTGGGGAGAAAAACAGACAAAGAAACAAGAAAAAGCCCTGAAGAACCATGAAGATCGGTAATTGTATTTCTTTTCTTTCACAGTATGCATTAGAAAAAAAAAGATCCCATTTTCTGGAATACTGTCCTCTTTAAATTGGGAATGAGCACTGCATGGAAATTAACCGGCTCGAAGAATGTAAAACATGGTCATAAGGGAGTAACCAACAAGAACAGCAGCCACCACCGAAAGCCCCCTTGTCAGGAGCACTGTGCAGGCATAAGCCAGGATTAGACTTTCCTAACTGCTGAAACACGCAGATTTGGCACATTCAGACACGTTGTGCTCAGCGGAGGGGTCACCTCCTTAACGGGGGATTGTGCCGGTGACCTGCCGCCACGGTGTGTTTGTTGGTTTGTGGTTTGTTGTTTTTTTTTTTAAGTTAGTACTTCATGACTCCCACTCTCAGAGCAGGTCACTCGTACCGAGAGCCAGAGAGATTTCTCTGAGATACGGATGACAGTGTACAGTGTACAGGACATCTGCCTATTCCTCCCACTAAAGTTTAATACACTGCTCAACGCCTGTCCTAGCTCCTCCTGCCATGTGTAAATGTACAGTCAAAGGGACTAGGATGTTCCTTGAGCTCTGCACAGCTTAGGTTCCGTCTCCAGCCTCACACTACCCAGGCTGCCTGAGCAGGACACTGTTTGCCAGTAAGCTCTCCGTTGCCATGCTGGCCCGCTGCCGTAAGGCTCATAAACAGCATTCTTCCACATGCAATTGTTTTCAAAATTAAAGAGGCTTTTTTTTTTTTTTTCTCCTAAATGTTTTTCTGTCCCCTGGAAGCCCTGGGCCAAGCCCGGTGCGGCTTGGTCCTTGGAGGAGCAAACGTGATGCACTGAGGTCTCCACACCCCGCCAACGCCTGCAGAGTGGTGCGGTCACACAGCAGACCCCAAACGGAGCTCCTCCGAGAAAAGTAATAACTAAGTATTTATGACAAGTACAGTCACCTTTGAATTTTGGAGACTAGCACAGATGGCTTTGAAGAACCTCACAAAACTGACACGGTTACAACTGGAGAAAGACCCAGACAGGTTAGGAATACACAGGGTACTGTGAACCGTTGGGTACGTACACTTACAGCTGCCTTTGCCTCAAACACATTATAAGAACCCTGCAAAAAGACTATTTTAAACTGTTGTTGCCCTGAGATGTATGTTTAGAGATGATTGTTTTTGAGTTCCAAAATATTTGTGTTGCGAGAGACGGAAGTTTTTCAAGAGAGAAGTGGCGTAGAGGAATGGAAACACTAGCAGGGCACAGGGGCGAGCGCCCACCAGCAACACGTTTCCATTCGTACATGGGAGTAATTTTGGGATGCAGTCAGTGCTCTCCGTAAGCGCTGGAAAAAAGAAACACCCACAGAACAATTGGTTAGTGCTGAAGCTAAGCACAGTACATCTTAATCTTCTCCTCAACCACAAGCCAAGGCACTGCTCCTCCCTGCCCCGATCTGTCAGAAACTCCTGCTTAACCTCAGACTTGCAAATGGCTGAACACACATTGTTCTGCTGAAAGAGCAGGAACGCTTAAATCCTTCCACAGCGAGTTACTAAAAACCTTAGAAGTTCCAGTGCCAACACCTTCTGGAGTTGTTGCTTAGTTTCCTGACCCAGTACGAAAAGAAATTCAAATCAGAATGAAGTCTCGTTACAGTGAGATCCCACCCCCCCCCGCCCCAATCCGCTTCCCCACAACTGCCAACAACTGGACCTAAACGTGCCCCCCCTCCCCGCAAAGGTCTGGGGGCAGTTTTTAAGATCCAGGCTCAGTTCAGTTCTGTTGCTTCAGTTTGTGTTTCTGTTATTTATAAACTGTACATTGATCTATATGTGTGTGCGTGTGTGTGCGTGGGCACGTGTGTGCACGCGCGTGTGCGAGCGAGCCAGCGAGAGCCCCGCATGGCCAGGATACCCGATGCCGCCTCGGACCTGGTATCTGGCGTAGCAATACCAGAGGCAATCCCCAGAGGTGCTCAGCACCAGAGCAGAGCAACCACTATCCGTAACGTTTCGTGATGGGCTCCATTTTCTTTTTCGTTCTTGCGCTTTCTACAGTAAGAGGCTGTTCTAGTGCAAACGCGTCAAAGTGTAAACAAAATGAAAACACACTCAGATTTTTATCCTAATACAAGTCTTAATATTTTTTTGTAAATGTTTTCAGTGTTTACTGTAACGTATCTATCTCACTAACAGTTGTATATAGTAACTTCTGGTGCTGCTTATTCGGTCAGGATTTGGCTGTATCTCACTGCTGTTTTGGAGAGGTGGACTCAAATGAGCAAATCTGGATCCGGACGCAGGTTTTGATTTCAGCCTTCTCCCTTTGGGGATCTGAGGGAAGGGGGAGCAGCCAGGGATCCAGATTTGGGGTTGGTCCACCTCAAGGATTCTGTTTTAAGAGTTTTGATTTGAGGTTTTGTTAAACTGTAGTGAAGACTTCTGAAAAATGAGCAAAGTTTTATGTGAAGGGGGGCGAAATGGACTGAAGAGTATCCCAAGGTCTCTGCAGACTCTAAGTATCATCGTTTTGGACAGGGATTATGGCTTCGGTGCCAAAAGATGGGAGGGACCGAGTCCTTCCCCATGCCAACTAATACTACAGTGTAGTCACCAGCCCCTCTGCACCAGTTTAAGCAAATCCTGCCGCCATCCAAAGAGTCCTGTGTCACTCTGCATTGTCATTTGAGTCTGGTTGGTTTTGTTTTCTGCTTTTGCAGTTGTAAAGCACTGATTGCACTGTGAGAACACGCTGAATCCTCTGGCCTGGCAGCCAGCCCCGTAGGTTGCTGCAGGGTGCAGGACACAGGTTCTGCTACTACAACTATTCCTAAAGGGAGAAGGGACTTGGTGGACCCGAGCGAGGCATCACAGGCTCTCCTAGGAAAGCAATCAGCAAGTAATCAATCGTTGCCAAAGTTTAGAGCGCTCATAGGCTTTTCCCTGTTACTGATGTCCGTGTCCAGATGCAATAGAAAACATCCCGAGGTCTGGTCTGTGTTGGACAAGGAGAGGATGTGTAGTCACAGGAGATGGAAAATGCACTGATGCACTCAGCCAGGAGAGCCCCAAGGCATGGCTCGTAGCTCTGATCGGCGAGGGGCTCGTTTCCCCCAGCGGTCCCAGGGCAGGGTAGCAGCCCCTGGGAGACACTTTCTGACAGCAGCACCTTGGGCCAGCGGTGCCCCCGCAGCCCCACCACGGTCACTGCCCTGGCCGTCACGCGGCTGGGCCTGGTGATGGGCAGCAGAAAGGCCAAAGGGAACGACTGTGACGCCATCCCCAGGGTGGGCGGGAGGGTCCCACGCAGCATTCCCTCTGTCCCGCCCGCAGCGGCTCTTGGAGTCAACCTCTTCCCCAAAGGTTCGGAGCAATCCCAGCCTCCACCCCGCGTCAGAGGCCGCGGCCTCATGGCCACCGGGAGATCCCTTGACTGGCCGCAGGAAGGGGCAGCGCCCGTCTCCAAGTGGGTCTCTGACTCTTCAGGGCCATTTCGGAGGAGGCTGCTTGGCCGCAGGGCTTGGACGTGTGGCACTGCCCTGCCCGAGACCCGCCAAGCCCCGCTCCCCCCCACGCGGGTCCCTGCTGCCTTTTTCTTTTCCCTTGGGGAAAATGACACACGGGGGGGAGAGGAAGGAGGACAGCAGGATGCTAACATGCAGCTCGTGCGCTTTACAAACCAAATCCAGTCCTGAGGGCGTTGCACAACGTTCAGAAACGACCACGCTTTGAAAAAAGGGCGTCGCGTTCCAGCATCGACTTGCACAGATCACCTGAGCTGTGACATTGCTGTAAATGCCACGTGGTTCTGCATCAGCCACCAGTACCCCAGAGTGCAGTCTCCATGTTCACATATTCCTTTATCATACATCACTGTGTCTTAAGATATACCTCTCTCTGTATATCTGCT